AAACAGACATTCAAAGGAGTATACATTGGGAAATTCAGTTTTATTTTTTTCTGTACTTGTGAGAGCTTCATGGCAACTGAGCAGAAGCAGAAAGCAGCCAGCAGCCTTTCCTGGCACAAAGTTTCAGTAATAGGGAATTCCCCATCTCTTGAACTTCTGCCTGTTGCTTAGTTGATCAGGCCACCTCAGTTTATTTGTCCCAGGGATCAGGGTGCCACCCTTGACCTGGCTTGGTGAGGGTCTCTGTACTATGTTATAATTGCATGATAGATGGAAATCCAACAGGTCAAGCATCTCTTATTTATTTATTTGATTGATTGATTAAAAGTGTTTCTAACCAGTCCACCACTAGCGCCTTGGGATGGCTTACAATAAACACTGAATGGCATCTGATAATTGTATTTCTTTTATCATTTTTCTATACCACTCAAGAGCTGAAGCCCTCTGGACAATTTGCAAAGATTAAAACCTGAAAAATACATTATGAAATGTATCTCACTCTGGTGGAGAATTTGTTCCTGCTGAGTTACTACTGGCCATCCACAGGAACCCTGCCAAAGGTAGAAATCCCCTGTTGCCAACCTAACATTGCTGGTAAAACTACTTGTGATTTTGCCCAAACCACTTATCCTAGCTTCTAACTAATCAAAAGTGTGTGCCTCTGGCATTTTGAACATCAGCTGGTTCAATGCAAGGTAACACTTCCTTATTCTGTGGGTTTTTTAAACCACTACTGACAATTGGAGGTTTGTTGGAATGAAGTTCCACTTCTCCAGTTGTTGTGCAAATGGTCACAGTTAATAATTGTGTGTGCTGTTTCCCCTGATAGGTATCAATAATGAAGCTTGATATCTGCATAGGAGAAATGGTTTATCTTTCATAAACTCAGTTTATCTTGGCACTTTTAGAGTTAGAGTTAAGCCGAATAGAGGCAAACGCAAGCTGCAGTTAGTGCCTGTCATTCTAGGCAGAACTAAAACTAATCCAAGTGTTTGGGACCACTGCTAAGGAATTGCTGATTTTTTTCACCTTCCTCCTCATCCTCCACATTTACAAAACTTAACGGCATCTGTTGAAATAGATGTTTTACCTATTACTTGGGCATGCTCCTTAGCATGTCTTAAGTCACCTACTTCAGAGTATTTTCAAAGACACCAGATTCAGGCTCATACACTCAGGCTGTTTGAAGTCGGGTGTGTCAAACCAAGCTCAAGACAACCAAATGTTCATGTACAAGTTCTTCATAAAATAGGCATTATTGATCACCCCAGTTTTATTTGGTTATAAGCTCCTTCACACAAGCTGAAATGTTGTAAGTGGAAGTTATCTGAAGATTATTTCATCCCATATGTACCTACCTGGACCCTGAGGTCATCTTTGGGAGTCCCTCTCTGGGATCCCTTTCCAAAGGAAGTGGGGCAGGTAGCTACCAGAAGAAAGGCCTTTTTGGTTGTGGAAAGAGCTTCCCAAAGAAGTGTGCCTGGCACCTACTTTGTATTCTTTTTGGCACTAGATTCTCCAAGCATTTTAGCAGGGAGAAGACTTTATTCTCCCAGCATTTTAGCAGGTCAACTTTAAACTTCATGTTTTAATATTGCATTTTATTCTGTACTGCTGCTGTGTGTCTATGTTGATTCAGTTGCAATTGTTATGTGTGTTTGTCTATGCATTGTGCATTTTAAAGGTCGTTATCTTTTCTTAACCACCCAAAAAGCTTCAACTACTGGACAATATAAAATGTAATAAATAAGTTACATCTTTGTAGCAAATGGCATGCTTCTATTGCATTAAATGCCTATGTTGCTGGACATGGCAAGAATCCCCATTGTCAGGGGTAGCATCCAGGTGGGACTCATGCAGTTTCCTCCACCAAAAAGGCTTCTATGAATGTATGTATGAATCTTTGCTCTGCTGATTATTGTAATTTTGATTGTTAAATCCATACATTCTTCAAAGGAGTCCAGGGTGGGTTACATGGTTCTCTTCTAATTTTATTCTCACTACAACCCTGTAAAATTGGTTAAAGCTGCAATGACTGGCTGAAGTTACCCAACAAGTTTTATGGCTGCATGAACATTTGAAGCCAAATCTCACCAGTGTCAGTACAATGATCTGTAGTTTTCCCCAGCCTGGTGTCTCCTAGAAGTATTTGACCACATTGGCTGTGAGTTGATGGGAGTTGCACTTTCTCTCCTGTGCCTTGAACATCTCATTTACTAATTTCTATATATTGTGTCGCTGTTAAAGGAGCAGGCCTGCCTGTTTGTTTTTCCCTGTTGAGTTTGCAACCATAAGCAGCCCTAAGGTAAGACAACCAAAGTTTAATCATGTTCATTACAGCAGTTTTGTCTTGCTTATTGAGCAGTGGCATCTGCTGTATCCTAAATATGATGCAGAAATACTCACAAGAATGCCCATTCATACATCCATACATCATACATCCATGTTACAAACTGGACTCAGAAACCAAGAATGACCTTTCTCAGGCTACTCAGTACCCAGCAGGGATTGCTGAGTGCTATTATAATAGTAACAATTCTATAGTAATAACAGTAATGATATAATAATGACACCACGTTCAGTGCTTTTCTTATAATAATTTTGGTACTTCTTATATATCAACCCTGTGGAATAGGTCTATATGATTTGCAAAGGCAGACTCTAAGTCTAGTACTTTCAGGACTAAGCCGTGTGATATCAGATTCTAATCAAGTGATATGATGCTTAAAAATTACATAACTGCACATTATTCCAAACCAATACATATAATAAAGAAACCAGAAATGCAGATTACTTTACATAAATTCTCTCCAAATGATACCTGCCTTCTAAATACTGCTAGTAACTTCAGCATTTGACATTTGACGTTCTACTCTTCTACAATCCTCTGAAAACTCAATACTGAACACTCAGTTGTCAAGGAGCACAAGTTCAAATCTTGAGTCTACCATGGACTCACTGGCCAAGCACCTTGCTGGGTTCAAATAACATGGGAATCATGGGCCACAAGGGTAAGTCAGGCAAACTGAACACTGGGAGAACAGCATGCAAGGAATAGGGAATAAGAATCCTGAACCTTTTCCTATTCCTTGCAAGTGTTGATGAACAGCAGGATGCTGGGGCAGATTCTCTTCTGCCTTCATGGACCATCCCTTACATATCTCTGTTCCTCACCCCCCTCCCTGAGATTTCACTAAATGAACTGGTTTGGGGGTTTTTGGCCAGGCTAGCAACAGAGCTTCAGAGAGCTGGTATCATGGCTCCTACAGGCTCCTTCCCTCTGCATCCACTAAAACATCCCCCCTTTCCCCTCCATGAAGTCCCCCCTCCTACACTGGCATGGGAGTGGGGGCAGAATCCCCAGTATGCTTTGACCCTCTCAGACAATGCCTGTTGGCCATAGGATTGCTCCTATGGAAACAGTTTCTTGATATTGTACAGAAAATCAAGATAAATCCTGGTAGAAAAGGTTGCTTATACATGTTATAAAATCAGACCTGCACCCCTTTCTCAGAAAGCAGCAGAATTCCAAGCCAGGTTCCTGTTTAGTATTGCTGTTCCTTTAAGAAGATGGAATACTTAGGTGGACTGAGAAGCTGCTGTTGGGGTGTTCCCATCAGTGGGTTATTCCCATCAGCTGTAGATGAGACAAAGATAATCATTTGTTTCTGAATGGACCCATTTAATCATCTAGTTCCACAGAGGAAAGTGTCCGCACAGTGTGGTTGTCAAACCAGTTTTCTGGAATGGTTCCTCCATCAGACACATTTTCATGTTTAAGCAGACACAGGCTGATCCAAAGTAGCAGGAGTTCACTGAATTGACTTGTCAAAAAGGCTCAATCGGGGAAATTTTCTGTTCTATTGTCACAGGCATTTTTGATCGGTTTAGACTTGAGCGTTGTTTTGTGTAGGAAGATATCAAGATGCTATTATGTTAACATTTTCTGGAACCCTAATATTCTGTTTGTGACTGGAAAGTTATAAAAATGTCTGTACGTGGGCTGTGATTTTGTAGTTGGCAGTGGAAACTGCTATCCAGTAGCATGCCGTCATAGGTAACTGCAGGGGGCCTGGGCGATCTCACTAGTAAAACCACTAGGGTTCAAGGCGACTCAGTCTTCCCTGCAGGTCCGAGTACTCATTCTCGCCATTGGTAAAGAGACTCTTACAATATCTTTTTATTATGTTTTTCTCTTGAAAGTATAATGTCCTCATGCTATATTGTATGAACTTTTTTCTTCACCTCTGTAAAAATCTCATGTAGGCTTTTAAAAAATGAACACATTATTACCCCGAAAAGCGGTGTTGGTTTCACTACAAATCCGTGGTTCTTGATTTGCTTTTCAAAGGTCTTGTTGCTGTATACTTTGTGGATCTATCTTAATTTTATGAAATAACAAAATGGAGGGGTTTAAGAGTTACTCAGAGACAGGGAACTATGATAGAAGCCTTTTAAGCTTGTCTTAATCGAGCCAACTGTGCCAGCAAACTCTCTATTAACAGTCATACTGAACCTTTACAAAGGGAAATGGCATTTAGCGATTATGGTCAAATCTTGTAAAACTGCTATTTGCTGCATAAGCAAAATCATCCGGACTCGCAGTGTTTGCGTGTTTGAAACACAGACCGAGCGAGCGAGCGCTGTTGGTGGGGTGGGGAGCGGAGAGATGGAGAATGTATTCGAAGTCCTTGAGAATTATTTCCATAACAGTGTTGCCGAAAGTTAAGAGGTTAAGGAACGAGACAGAGGCGGACCCTCAATCCAGTCCTCTGAGGCCAAGTCTTCGAATTCAGTGCTAATTTGAAGGGCTTACCGTGAGTGGGAGGGGGGAACGCAAGAGTCAGATTACGCAGAGGTGGAGCTACGAGCCTTCTTAAGGGAAGAGGAAGTGCTGAAGTTGCTCCGAGGGGAAAGCGTTGCAAGGCTCGCAGTTAGGTACCAGCACTCGGATCTCATACTTACACAGCCTGGCTTGCCGGTCTCTCCACCATTTGCAGGTTAACGCTGCTCTGCCCAGCCTCCGCTCAAGCATGGCCTCGAACGATGGCAGCGAGAACCCGGACTGGAGAAGGACGGATCGGCGCGGATCATACCTGGAAAGAGCAGCAGGTAAAATCTGGACTTTCTGGCTTGCTTTGCGATCAAGATTATGAATGAAACTTGCCCACCTGCCCAAGCTGCTCATATCGACAGCTTTTATTAATGGGCCGTTTAGGGCGGGTTTATTGAATGACCTTGGCTGTACTTGGGGATGAGCCCCATTGGACCCCGTGACATATAAACCCTGAGTAGATATGTATGGGATTGTGATCTTAATTGGCCTGTTTTTCTGTTCCTCTTGAACTCCTTGGATATATGATTAAGGAAAAAAGAGTTTGCTTAAGCGGAATGAATTCACTTAAAGGTAGAGAACTACTAGCCCCAGGATTTGGGGCTTATTTGAAACTGTTTATTATCTGTGGCATTCATGTATACATTTTATATTTTCACTGTTTCTTTGGATCAATCAGTTTTGTTTGCTGGTAGGATCAATCTTCAGGTTTTTATTGTTGCTTGTTATACTTTGTTGGTTTAATTCAGTGTGCACTGCTGTGGGATCCTTTGTAGAAGGGTGATTTATCTGTGTTTAAAATAAACATTTCCATGAGGGGGCTTTGGGGAAAGCCCATCCTCATCTGTAGAACTGCTCTGCATGCCTTTCTTTCCAGCAGCCCTTAAGAGAAAAGAGCAGAAAAGCCTGTTCCTGCTATACACATAATATCTGGAGCCTTTTAGGGCCCTGGACAGAGTCATCTGCCCAGTGTTTTCTTGGCCACACTAAATTTCTGCCTTGTAGTGGAGAACTTGAGGTTAAGGGAGGGTGACTTGCTCAAGGCCACTTGGGAGTTGGTAGCTAGGCTAGAGCATTTTGATAATTTTAGTCTCACTTTCTTGCATACCGGGTATTTTATAGTCTGTCATCTTTGCAGCAGCACTCCTGAACATGTCCATATTATACAGAAGCCAATGATGAGCCGGGGGTCAGATTAGATGGCCCGGGAGGCACTTTCTGACTCGCTCGCTTTGTTTCTATGTTTCTATGACTTTTCTTAGGCACCCCGTTCTTTGCAGGGACTGTTGAATAAAATCAGTGACAATTAATAATGATAGGAGATGATTTGACTCCATAAAGGAAGCCACAGCCTTGAGTTTAGAAGAGCTGGAGCAGGGCTGTCAAGGTTAGGACATCTTGAAGGGCTTTCATTCATGGGCCCGCTCAAGTCAGGGATGGCTTGACAGCGCATAAGAACAACCATGTTGAGTGCTTTCCTTAAGGCCTTACAACAAACCTGTAAGGTAGGCCAGTATGGAGGATAAGAAGTGCTGAACTTGTGCTAGGTTACCCAGGCCTAGGTTTTGAACCCGGAACTTCCAGCTCAAGCTTCTAATCCCTGGCTGGCTAAGTTGACCCTGTGCGAGTTGTCCATGTAGGCCTCCTCAGTTCTAAGAGAATGCTGTACATCCATTGTACCTACTGGAGCACAATGATTCTTGGCCCTGATCTGGATGGATATTGCATATTGGACTTGGGAGAAAAGTGCAGCTTAACAATGACTTGTGCACACTTGCGGCAGTGCTGGTGATGTTCATTTACTCTCTCCTGATCTTATGAGAGCGTGAGATGGCTCTTACTGGAACAGACCAAGGCCTGACTATTCTGAAATCCTGTATCACACAGAGGCTAGCCAGATTCCCCTGGGAAGCCCATCAGTTGGACACGAGGGCAATGGCTTTCTTCCACCATGGCTTCCCAGCAGCTCTGATTCAGAGGCAAATCTTGGTGTATAGCCTTCATGACTAGTAGACTTTTGTAACCCTGAGGTGCAGTCCTTTACACGCCTACTCAGATGTAAACCCCTGGTGCAGAAAAGCATTTTCTGTAACTGCATTCACAGTATATGGCAGGGGTGGCAAGACTTGCTCAACGGAAGAGCCGCATATGGTAAATGTCGTGTTGCGAGCTGCAAGTGGGTGCCCGTAGGTGGGGGCAGCAGGCAGCGAGTGGCAAGCAGGCCCCCATGGGTGCCCACAGCAAGTGGTGAGCCACAGAATGAACTCGAAGACCTACATGCAGCTCCCAAGTCTTGGTTGGACCACCCCAATATATAACTAACTCATTGAAATTTGCATATCCTATCCAACATATCAGCTCCCCAAAAATAAATTTGAAATTTGGGCAATATAATGAGACAATTTAATATAATTGAAATAACCAACATTAAACTTACTTAAAAAGGCTGGAAATGACCCACATCTTCCTCGGTTGTCATTCTGGAAGAACTTTTGCTCCTCTCTACAGCAGCCACTATAAAGCTTCAAGGATATCCTCATAGCTTCTGTATATGCATGTTAAAGAGGAAAAAAATATATACATGAAAGTGTCTTTCCTGTAGGTGATGGCAGTACAATTTCCTTGTTAAGTTTTTTTTTTTTTTAATTTACCTTTCCAGTTTTGACCAGGAGGCAGTAGTTACCAGCTCATGCAGAAAAGTTATTCTTCAGTGCAGCATCATGGGACCCCTGCTTCTCCCCAAGTTAAAGTCAGAATAATTTCCAGAAGGATAAGCTGAGATAAAACACAATGTTGTATGAGCTTTGAGTTCAAAATGCCATAGTTTTCATTAAGACTTACTCCTCGAAAAGTGTCTAGGACTACAGTCACGCAGCATAATTCTAACACATTTCCTGTGAGGTGGCCAGGTTAGTTTGTGACCAAAAAAGCAAACAAAAAATGGTATTTGGCACCTTAAAGACCAAGGATGCAATTCTATCATCCTTGATGCACATAAACCTCTGAACCCAGACACTTATGTGCATTTCATGCCAGGAACTAGGTGTGGCAGTAGCTGCCGCCACCCTGATTTGTATCTAGATTTCTGTTTTTGTATATCTAGATAAAATGACAGGGGGAGAGAGGGAAGGATGCTGGGATGCTAATAAGTGGAAGTGCTTGGTCCCAGCCCCCAGCACAGCACCATTTCTTTCCTCCAAGGCACATTTGTGTCCTTGCAGGGTTTGGCCTTCAAGTCCCAGCTCTAGGATCCTGTGATATTGGTGCTGGGACTCCAGGTAATCCTATGGGTGCCCAGAGAATCGTGGAGTAGTAGAGTTGGAAGGGGTCATTGGGTCCAACCCCTTACTCAGTGTAGGACTTCAAATTAAACCACCCCCCTCAGATGGCTGTCCAGTTGCATCCTGAATGCTTCTAGTGTAATGGTGTCCTAGGTAATTGGTTCTGTTGTTGTACTGATCTAATAGTAAGGATTTTTTTCCTGGTATCTAGCCAGAATCTGGCTTCCTGTAACTTGAGCCCATCATTCCCTGCCCAGCCTAAAATAGCATTTGCCATTTTTGCAGCCACGTCCAAAGGGACGCCAGAGGATTATGCGCCCTGACACGATTGTTATGGCATAAACATTTGTGGACTACAGTCCACTTCATCACATGCATAAAATGTTTCCCAGAGTATCGGGAACAGCTACAGTGCACATGGCTGGCAGGGTAGTGGAATTCTAAACAGTGGTTTTAGAAGGAAATGAAGGGAAGAAGGTACTGACAGTGGCAATTATGCCATTAACAGTGGGCATTCACAAAATAGAAAGGATTAAATCTGATTACACTGGGTAAACAATTAAAACATATTTATTCCAATTTAAGCCTCTGGAAATAGAATTGAAGCTCTTGACCAATTGCAAAGCAGCAATATCTTGCTCTAAGTTTTCTCTAAAGTTCCTTTGTTCCACACTGTCAATAGACAAGTCCTGAAAGGCTAAATTGTTTCAAATATTGCCAATTCTAACCAATCAAAATTGCTTCTTGAATTCATAGCTTTCTAGTGAATTCAAGATTATTTATTTCCATCTGGATGGGTGTATTTCTAGAAAAGGTGATTAGTATTTGAAATATTTATATAGTCTTCCAAAGCAGGCACTTGGAGCAAAAGGGCCGTTCATTTGCTAAAACTTACCTGAACTGTGAACCTTTATGACTTTTTCACCTGTTCCATTGTTGACTTGCAAATGAGTCATAGCACCTTTTGTCAATAACACCTTATTTGCATTTCTGCGGTGGGGGGATGTTTTTAGTATAATATACTTGTATCTCAGTAGTACTTGGCAGTTAACCTGGTTATGAAACTCTGATCATGTTTAGTGCTACATAAAAACAAGCACTAATCCTCTTTTCTAAGCTGAAGTCTGGAATATATAAAAATCCTCAGATCAGTCCTTACGTAGCATGCCATTTTCAAACTAGTGTGATTGTGTCTAAATAATGATTGCTGAAACAGCCTTGAAATACAGTTATTACTAAGAATACATAATCTATTCAATGCAAGTGTGTTTTGTATAAAAATATAGGGGAATGCCATGTGAGCATTCATTAAGTTATATAATCTCTGAATAAGAGAGGTGAAGACATATAGCATTCTGCAACCATTCTAACTTCTGTAATGTTAAGCTAGTTTAGGATGCCTGGGAGGTTTGCCAGAGGTATTATTTTTAGGCTGCAATCTTATGCACACTTACTTGAGAGTAAACCCTATTTAACTCAGTATAATTTAATTCTGAATGTTGTGCCTTAGCACTTGATTGTCCCGATTAATAACCTGCATCATGGAAAAGAAACTATTCGTTAGGACAGAATGTGGAGGAACAGAATGGTTTCCCACAGGCAAAGGCATCAAACAAGAATGTATTTTCTCTCCATATCCGTTCAGTCTGTACACAGGACATACTATAAAGAAAGCCAGATTAGAATTGTGGCAGAAAACACTTTAATAATTTAAGATACACAGATGATACCATTTTACTGGCAGGAAGCAGCAATGAATTGAAACAACTGTTGAAAGTGAAAGAAGAAAGTACAAAAAGCATGACTACAGCTGAATATCGAGAAAACAAAACTCATGACTACAGAAGCTACATAACGTGACAGCCTAAATGAAGAAATTGCAGTTGCGAAAGACATTTGGATATCTTGCCTTAGTCATCAGTTCAAACGGAGATGGCAGCCGAGAAGACGGAGACTTGGAAGGACCGTAATGATACAACTAGAAAAGATCAAGTGTG